GGTACCGCTTCGGTGGGAAGGTAACAGCATTCCATACGCCTCGGCATTTAGTCATGCCGGCCACATGACCATGGAAACGTCTAACGTCTTTGGACAGTGCTTGCTCTTCGGTTTGGAAACGGAGATGAGCACCGCCCCCTACAGTTGAATTTGACTGGCTTTTGAGCAAGGGTAATCTTTACCTTTTTAAAGCGCTACACCTCAAAATACAGTAACATCAAGATGGCAAGGTGAGTATTGCACTAGTATGCTGCACAAAGAGATTAAAATCAGGAGCAGTGCGTAATGCCTTGATTCCATTTCAGGAACAAGAGCTGGTAATTCAGAAAGGCAAAAACTCAGGGAGAGCCAGAGAATTCACATCATGCACGTTCAGAGGAACCCATAGTTCTGACCCATGGCCCTCTGAAAATGGTATCTACCTGCTTTGCAACACGGGCTCCCTCCAATGGATTTGGATTACTATTTTATTCTTTATTCCTAATCCTTTGTATAACAAGAACATATAAATAAACTCACAATAAAATACAGCTGGAAAACCTCATCTGGTAGCACTTTATAATAAATGGACATGAATACTAAATTACAATGATTTTTTTCTATGAAATTACATATTACATTCATGCCATATCAGTATCCAAAATGGGCTCTTAGGGGCCCACTGATATTCCGATACATTCCCAAGGAATTATTTGTCGATTTCAACCCTTAATGTAAAGCAATTCATTAAAACCTCTCAACTCCTCAAAGAGCCAAAAGAAGGAGCAAATTGAAAACTGTGCTTTGTGAAAGAGGAGACGGGGATTAATTCTTATAGGAAAATAAAGCTTCAAATGTGGAGGAAAATAGTCAAAACGGGCACAACCTTTGCCTTGGAAGTTCAGGATCTGTTTGGCTGATGCATCAAGGAAGGTTTGCAGAGGGGGGGGGAAAGCAAGGAGGGTGGCATTTGTGCACAGGTAGGTTTTCGAGCAAGGAAGACGAACTGCCCCAACAAACTTTCCTTTTCACTGGCTTCATTTTACAAAAGGGACTCTAACTGGAGTTACAGTATCAAAAGGATGCATTAAAAAAAACAGATTGGGTAACACTGACAATTAATTATAAATAAGATTACGGGGGTTTCCCACCTCTGCCGACCCTTTAAACATCAGCTCCTTCCAGGGGGAAAAATACATTCATGTCAGGTAGGTGTAGAAAACCTGCTGATCCTAACTGCTGCTCTCAAGCTGATGAGTAATGTCTTCCCTTTGGGGGGGCGGGTAATGGAGTCTTTTTCCTGAGTACAATGTACAGAGCAAAGGAACTAAATTTAAGTGACAGAAGGGACAACAATGTCCCTAAGAGTAATCTTCCTCCTGCTTGACTAGGAGGAAGTCAAGAGCAGCAAGGGGGAAACATCCTTCTGGACAACAAAGCGACCCCGTCATTCGGCCATGACCATTCGGTAAACAGGATGGGCCATTAAAGTCACGATTGACCACGCTAGCCCTAGAGAAGGCTGTCTGTCCTTTTCCCATGGGGCCTCCGCCGCCGCCATGGTCTCCAAAGTGCAGGGAATTCAGCCTCCCAGAGAAAGAACAGCTCTTGATGTGGTCACCAAGCATTGCAATGGTGTTTTGAGCAGTCAGCCTGACAGTGTCCTCATTTCTGGTTTGAGAGGCTCTCCCTTAATGCACTGATCTATCTAGGCTAGAAGGCTCTTCTACACAGGCAACAGAGCAGCATGGGAAGGAGATGGCAGAGTCCTGCGGTGGGAGAGTGGGCCGTACCACTTCAGCTTGCATGTCACCTACTAAAAAATGCAAAACAAAAAACTTTCTAAACGGGTACAGTGGGGAGGGGAATTCTATTTTTTTAAAATCTCTTTGAGGTCATATCAAAAAATTGCACCCCTCCCTCCCTCCTTAAGCTGTATTCAACCACTACCGGCACCCCCCTCCCAGTGCTGGTTCTAGGTTCTGGGGGCCCTGGGGCAAAAAATGCCCTCGGCTGGCTCCCTTGTGACCCCTGACTGGCCCCAGCTTCCTTGCTGCTCTCCGCCATCTCTGCCAGCCGCTCAGAAGGTGCCTGAAACAGCAGCAGTGACTCCTCCTCCTCACTTGAGTCCCCACTTTCCAGGAGAGGGCCGGTGGGCATCTAGGAGTTGGTAGCAAGCCCCTCCTTCTGCCAGTGCCCCATCATCTGGTCACCCTGTTGCAATGCAGGTGTGGCCAAGGCTTGGGTTGCATTGGTAGCTGTGAAAAACCGAGTCGGCACACGCTGTTCTGTCGGTCACCGTGATCACCGAGGCCCGGCGCTGCGTGAAGGGCTCAGTCCTCAGGGCCCGAAGGTAGGGCCTGTGTTTGTGTAAACCCACATAGGACCGTGCTGCACAAAGGCCCCTGCACAATGGGCTGGGAGGATTCTGAGTACGCACAGCGCCCATCCATCACACTGACCTTGCTCGGGAGAAACAGATTCACGCTCCGTTCTTACCCCCTTCCACTTCCAGGCCTGTGATGGTGAAACAAAAACGGGCAATGGCCTGCGTGGAAGAAGATTCAGTTTAGGGGCCAGGAAAAGATTCTCTCGGGCTTCCCCCCCCCCCCCTTGGGACTCGCTCTTACCCTTTGGTTGATGAATTTCCACTAAGACCAGCAGTGGATGAAGCTACCACAGAGTTGTGCCCCTGACTGATGCGTGTGAGTTTAAAAGAGCTGTGTACTCTCTTGCATGCAAAAGGCTGTACATTCATTGAATGAAGGGGGAGGATCCAATTAGATGTGTGTACTGGCGCCCTCTACTGAAACTAGTGGGAGACGGGTGGTCTGGTCAGGAAAGCTCCGAATGCCCAAGGCTAGAACAGAAGGCTGGATGGGATGACTGAGTGGATTGGGGAGGGTGTCGGCGCGGGACAATTTTGGTAAGGCGTGGCTCTGCACAAAACAGTCCCCCAGATTTTGGCTGCAACACCCCCCCAATAACTCATTGATTGCTGACGTTGGGGGGGGGACCATTTTTTTTAGAATCCACAAAGTTTTCCATATTTGGAAACTCAAATCACCTGACTTGACACAATCTACACGGATGGGTGGTAATCGCTTCCCGTAGCACCCTTCAGATTCCAGGCCTCCCTGAATGTATTCATGAAGAGTTTTGTAAGACACGTTTTAGAGTATGTCTGCACAAGCATAACAACTGGCCCTCCTTTAAACACAGGCTCCCAAATGTTTCCATGCTTACAGCAAAACAACACACACTGTTACCTAGCCTGGGAGTGGCCCTGCTCCCCGGGAGGAAAGGACAGGTGCTCTGTTTCCCTGCGGCAAAGACAGCATGGAGAGGGCAGGGGGTCCACCTTCCATGCAGAGATTCCTTTGCTGGCTTTAGATCCGATAAATATGGGGGGGGCAGCCCATGTGTACATGTGCGTGGACAAAAATGGCTGTTCAGAAAGGGGGCATACCTATTCACAGCGGTGCAGTGACCCGATTGGCTGGATATAATAGCTAGGTTGCTAGGGGATTTTAATTTGAGTTTTAAAAGACAGCTTTATTCTTACATGCCACATCCAGCATCTTCTGGGGTAGGGCAAGAATAGCTTTAGATATGGAAAAAACAGGCTTCAGGCTGCTAGTTATGGAGACTGGTTGATTTCTCCCCCCCCCCCCAATGTTATAAATCAACAAACCAAGAATTGTCTGTGGCAGCAGGGACAGCAGGACGCAGTCGACACAGCAAGCCGTTGCGTGTAACAGGCTTACCATCTTGTGGCCATGGCAAGAATTAAAATGCCCTCTGCCTGGTGACTCTAACATGCTTTGGACCTTCGTGGCTCTCGTGAGACGTAGCAGCAGCAGGGGAAACTGTTCTGGATCCCATCCCAGTCCTGAATGTATAAAATGCGTCCCGCTGAATGTTATTCTTGGAGGTTTTTGAGGCTGAAGGTTTCTAAGTGCGGCTGAAGACTTCAAGAGAAAATGATGTGGCACTGGGGAAGTTCTGGGGATGGGAGATTAACAAAAGAGGGCATTTGTCTTTCCATCTGGCTAGCAATTCCACTTTGCTCCAGAAACTTTCCCTTAGTTTCAAAATCGAATGGCTTCCCCGCTTTGTCAACAGTTGGAAAGCTGAGCCTGCTCGTTCTCAACTACCATATAAAAGCCATAAATGTTATTTTTCAATGTTAACGATCCTCTAAACAATTAACATAATTATTCAGGGACATTTGTCCTGGGCTTGCCGACTCTGCAGCAGGCAATCAAACCCAAGGTGTGATGATTGGGGGGGGCATTCCATTCAGAGGTCTAAAGGTTTGTGGTTCCCCAGTAAAGAGGGTCACCTCGCAGTGCTTTGGGTCACCTTAACTGCAAAGCGTGCCCCCCCCCCTGCTTTGGGATTTGGGCACTGGCTAATGAGCAGGGTTGCCAGATCTGGATTAGGAAATACCTGGAGATTTTGGGGGTGGTACCTGGGGAGGGCGGGGTTTCGGGAAGGCAGGGACCTCAGCATAATGCCATAGAATCCATCCTCCAAAGCAGTCACTTTCTCCAGGGCAACTAATCTGTGTTTTCTGGAGATCAACTGCAGCAGTGGGAGATCTCCAGGTGCTACCTGGAGATTGGCAACAGTACTAATGAATGCCCTGAAGACTTTGAATCCAGTTCTTCAGATGCCCTCAGGAGTCTACTTGGGCCCAGCATTAAGTTCTCTCACTGTTCACTTGTTAATTTTTTGCACTTTTGCAGACTTTTTGATTCCCACCCCCTACAGCTAGATATTTATAATCGTTACAGTCTTTTACTTTCTTTTTCTTAAAAACCATCAATCTTCTCTCTCTCTTTTTGCATCTATAAATCTCTCATAAAAGCAGTGAAAATGAAAACAGACTTGCCTCTCAACTGCATGTCACAAAAAAAAGGGCTTTGCATTAGAACATCCATAAAACATTCAGTCATACAGAAAACGCCTTACCCTAAAAACACTTCTGTTTGTTATTATCAAAAACAAAAGGGGTGGGGGGGTGGGAGGGGGAACGACTGGCCACAATATGTGCCTTGTAAACTTGCGTCCTTCACTTAAATAATCAGTTTGCACATTTTGGCATGTCTCTTAAATGTGCCTTCGTGTCCCCATTCCTGCAACAGGTGAGCGGGGCACGCAGGAAGGGTTGCCATTGTCGAATTTGAACGACGTCTTTTCAGGGATGTGGAGCACTGATGGCAGAAGTCCAGGCTCTCTCTCTACGATTCCTCAGGCCAACGATTTAGGCAAGCAGGGCTTCTTCAGAGGTATCTGGCTCCACCGCCAGACCACAATGTGCTACTCGAGGGAGTCACTGTGCTCCAAGCCAAGGTCGCTAACATTTGTGGTCTGCAGCTCTTCGGTATCCTCCTCCAGCTCCTCCTCTTCCTCTTCCTCCTCCTCCTCCTCCATTTCATCCTCTTCCTCGTCCTCTGTCCCGTCCAGTGAATCATCATGTGCGGCCATCATAGCCTGCTGCATAGCGATGGTGGCATTATCTGAGGTGAGAGACTGCAGGTTGTCCATATTTATGGAGCCTAGGACAAAAGCAACAGCTGGACTTAAGAGCTCTTGTTTACCAAGATACATTTTAATTATATGGTACACTTGGACCCAGGGCTGCCAGCTCCGGGTTGGGACATACCTGGAGATTTGTGGGGTGGAGCCTGGGGAGGGGAGGAACCTCAGTGGGGCACCATGCCCGAGAGCCCGCCCTCCAAAGCAGCCACCTTCTCCAGGGGGACTGATCTCTGTAGTCTGGACATCACTTGTCATACTGGGGGATCTCCAGGCTCCACCCAGGCCTGTAGCCAGGAATGTCTAAGTCAGGGGGCATTTAAATTCCTAGGGGGGCACTGGCTTATTCAATACCTTGATTGGTGCGGTGCAGGGGAGAAAGGTGTGGCACAGGGGGGAGGCAGGGAAAAGCAGCAGCAACAGCAGCACAAGGGAGTTCATGGTGGCTGCTGCAGTCAGGGGGTCTGGGCCGAAAGGAAGTCAGGGGGCCTTGGTAGGAAGTCAGGGGGCCAGGCCCCGAAATGCCCCACTGTAGCGACAGGCCTGGCTCCACATGGAGGTTGGCAAACCTACCTCAACCCCACTTGTTCTTCCAAGGAACTCTGAACAGCCAGCCCATTTCCAAGTCTAAATACGGCTTGCCTTCCAAATCGGGCACCTTCAAGCCTGTGGTTTTCAAATTGTGTTGGAGAGAAATCTTGGGGTTCCTTGGAAGCTTGTGAGAAGGTCCGTAATGGCAGGCAGGCATCCCTAGAAGGTACCCTGACCATCACTACCCACCTCTTGCTACAGTGTGCAGCTGCCGGGACATTTTGGTGTGTCTTGAAGCACACTCAGTTTACATAAAGCAGAACTAAAACAGCAGTCCCAAACACTGTTGAGCCTGCAGGCACTTAGGGAATTTTAAGAAAGGGTAAGAGGCAGCCCTAGAAAATGGCTGCCATGGGAACAAGCCCAGTCACAAAATGGCTGCCATGTGGGATTTGTGCCTGTGGCCAAGTCAAGGACACACAGCTTTGATGAACCTGCCTGAGATCAGCTTTAGAGTTCAACTAGTCAGTCTGAGGGTAAGGAGTAGGCCTCCCATTTACCTGCCCCTATTTCCCACCCCCAGGAACTGAGGTGTGGGAGGAAAAAATGGCCTTCACATGGTGACATTCTAGGAATTTCCCCTAGCCCTTGTGATAAAAACCACAGAGACTAGGAAATGCAGCCTTTAGCATCACCCAGAAGTGACATCATATCCTCCCCAAGCACCCCCCTCTCCAGGCACCTCCCACCAGATCTTCCAGCATTTGCCAACACGGTGCTGAGAACACTACTAGTGGGAATTATCGAAAACTCCCAGTCCCCATCCCCCATTCAACTCAAAAACGTTTAGGTTTTATCTCCAATAGTCCAAAAGTAGGTATGCATCAGGAAACACACCAGTGGGTACCATGACAACTTCAGGAGTAGTATTTGTCATTCTGGGGCCCTGGGCAAAAGTCCAGGATGGGGCCCATGAATGGGGCCCAACCTCCCCCCCCGGATACTGTGCCCTCCATGTCTGTACCCCCAATGGTCCTGATGATTGCCAGGCATAGCCTGAGAATCCTAGGTGGTAGACCAGATTTGACAGAGCAAGAGAGAGACCAACCTTAAAAAGAGGTGGAATAGTCAGCAATTGTATTGTCCAAAACGACATGCATCTCTGCACCCCAATGCCCATTCTTACCATCGGGGTTAGTACCGGGGTTCCCTCCTTGTTGTTGCAGCACGCCAGCGGCAATGGAGTTGGGCCAGAATCTCTGAGTGGGCCGGTGCTGGGACTTGATCTTCTTTGCTTTGGGGGCCGGATCGGGATTGCTTGCATCAAGCATGGGCTGCAGAATACGTCGCCGGGCATTGATAAACCTTTCCAGAGGGAGAAAAGAAGAAGAGCATGAAATGATGCAGGTCTTTCCATTTCCAATCCTTTCCATTTGAAGCAATTCGGAAGGGAAAAAACCCAGCCTTGTAAACAATTGCTCATACTGAAATCAAGATCAGACTTCAAAGGACCCACAAAGTCTCTTCCAGACTTAGGGCTGCCAAGTGGGGGCGGGTGGCGGGTAAACCCCCGCTTTGGAGGCCCGATTTCCGCCGCCGCGGAATCGGGCCTCGGGGGAAACCCCACCCTGGCGTGCATGTCACCCGGATGTGACGTGATGACGCAGCAACTCCTGGAGCCAAGGGACAGTCCCCCGCCGGTGAGTATAAAGGACTTGGCAACCCTATCCAGACTACAGACCCTCAAATCCTTATGTCTTGTGTAAAAAAATTCCTGAGCTTCTCTTTCTGGTTGGCTTTTTATTTTCTCAGTTCCACAACTCATGCTGTCCCTCGGGCCTCTGAATCACTCTCTTGGTCCAGTATTTTTGTCTTTCCCCCTCCTTTCCCCTTATAGCCTCTCCCATTCTTGGGGCCCGTTTGTCCCTTTATTTCCTCAGTTCTTTGGGCTTTTCCTGGCTTGTAAGTTCCCGTCTCTTCATATTTTTTCCTGTTCTGCACATTTTTTCTCCCTCTTGTGGTCAATTTGATATTACACCGACATGTCCAGCATGACCTGCAGTTTAAATCTGCAGGGAAAGAAAAAAAAGAGGGTGCAATATCAAACCGGCCACTAGAGGGAGCAAAACACGTGTGGAACAGAGCTCCTCCCCCAGAAACAGGAATTTACAGACAAGGAAAATAAGAATGGAGAAAAGCCCTCTGTCTCCTTTGCCAATACCTTCTTCAGGTTCCTAGTTCTCAAAGGTAAAGGTTTCCCTTGCTCGAAAGCCAGTCGAATCCGACTCTAGGGTTGCGGTGCTCATCTCCGTTTCAAAGCCGAAGAGCCAGCGCTGTCCGAAGACGTTTCTGTGGTCATGTGGCTGGCATGACTAAATGCCAAGGCGCATGGAACGCTGTTACCTTCCCACCTTGCAATTTCTTTCTTTCGAACTGCTAGGTTGGCAGGAGTTGGAACCAGACATGGGAGCTCACTCCGTCATGCGGCACTCGGGTCTCAAACTGCTGAACTACCGATCTTCCAGCCTGCAGTTCAGCGTCTTAACCGCTTGAGCCACCGCATCTAGTTCTCAAGCACGCCACCTATTCTGACCAATTTGTGCCATCAAAGATCAGCCTGTGGCTAAAGGGCCGGCTTGAAGAATGGTAGGATTTTGGCTGTGTGTTGGTGTGGGTGTATGAAAGAACTTGTATGAAAAAGAACAAAATAAAATTTTAAAAACCTGTCACTTAATCAAGGGCACTCTTTTAATCAATTAAAACAATTTAATGAGTGAATGTAACCAATTAATTGATAAACATGCGAGTCCTTATTTTAAACACACACACTTTTCAAAGCAAAACAAGACCTCTTTATTTGGCGAAGAAGAAGAGGAGGAGGAGGAGGAGGAGGAGATTGGAATTATACCCCACCCTTCACTACCCAAAGGAGTCTCAGAGCGGCTTACAATCTCCTTTCCCTTCCCCTCCCCACAACAGACACCCTGTGAGGTAGGTGGGGCTGAGAGAGCTCTCTTGAGGATTGCTTGTGAAAGAACAGCTCTGAAAGAACTTGTTACTGACTCAAGGTCACATCAGCAGCTGCATGTGGAGGAGTGGGGAATCAAACCTGGTTCTCCCAAATTAGAGTCCGCACTCCTAACCACTACACCAAACTGGCTTACATCTTAGCAGGTGGAGTTTAAGCATGCCAAGGGACACCACCTGAAATTCAGTAGCCACATCCGGTTCCCACTGGAGTCAGCTAAGCATCCCATAGGATGCAGATAAAAAGGCTTTAAAAACATGGCCTGACAAATGTGTTTTTTCTCCCTCTCCCTCTCGTGGTTAAGCATCCATTATGATGAAGCGTTCTAGAGAACATGAAAGCTTGTATACTGTTTTGTGTCAATATGGCTGGTCCTAATAAGAGGTACTATGTGATTTTTGATTTTGCTTTGGACTTTAAACCTCGTTTTACCAGCACAGATATTCTTTTAAAGGCATTCATTCTTCTTTAAAACACACACACACACAACTGAAAACTGTGTTAGCAAATTTGTTATCTATGGTATGATCATGAATTTCTTAAAAAGAGAGGTGCTAGGATTTATGCAGTGTCCTCTGACAACCTAGTCCCCATGCTGCCTAAAGCCAGAAAAACAGGAGCCAGCTGATGGGCTGAGGCTCAGACAGGGCAGGAGACAGCATGATTTAAAAGACAGGCTGTCTGACGGAGACAAACAGTTAACACAGCTAAGATTCATTCCTATGCTTGGCTCGGGGCAAGAGTGTTAGCACCCACTAAAAGAATTTCAAAGGTGGTCTGCCAATAAATAGCCACAAGGTGGAGCTATTTGAATCATTTCCATTGCAAGGTGATAGATCAAGCTGGGTACCCCTGTTAGCCTGCCTGTAGCAGTAGAAAAGAGTTACGAGTCCAGCAGCACCTCAAAGACTAACATAATTTGTGGTAGGGTAGGAGCTTTCCTGAGTCACTGCTCAGTTCTTCAGATACAAGGTGAGTTTTTGCTTCAGTTTCATGCTGAATTTTTTTTTATGTTCCAACTATATAGATGCTGTGATATATTATGGGCCTGGTCACACGGCAAAGTTGCTGCGGGAGAGGCATGGATGGTGGGCGGATTATCCGGGCACGATCGCACCCCAACATCTGGGAAGTGGAGCACACGGGTGGCTTACCGCCGACAATGCGCCTTAAAAAACTAGTACCTCCAAGGTACTAGTAAACGTTTGCCACGGGTTGCCTCCAGACGCCTGTGGTGTGATTGTGCCAGCGCGCAGCATTCTCCTCCGGTCCCTCGTTTACCCGCCGGCGCCGAGGGAAGGACCCGTGGTGTGCTGCCGGCGCGTCTGATCGCATAATTGCGCATCAAACTGCGCTGGGGCAATTAGCCACGCCTCCCCCCCGCGATATCCGGCCTGTGTGACCGGGGCCTTTCTGACACAGAGAAATTACAGTTTAGTCAGCAATATGTTTTTCTGAATGTTGCTAATACAATACAGAAAGTAGAAGCACTTTCAAAATCAAATTGATCGCTAAGGCTCTTTCATAGGTCTTGGCATTCAGTCCTTGATTTTAGAGTTTCCTGTCCCTAAGACGTCCAAATGAAGCGAGCTTCCAACAACCCCCTGTACCTGGGACCTTCTGCATATAAGCATGCACTGCCATTAAGCTGTGGCCCCAGATTCTACAGATTGTACAAAGTGACTTTAAGACATAATCTTATTTTTGAGATCATAAACTACCAGAAGTAAACATTCATTCATACCTTTTCTCCATCTCATCCCCACCCCCATGTAACAAATCCCCAGTCTTGGTAAAACCCAGAATGAGCAGGGTTGCAAGCTACTAGGGTCTAAAAGTTTCTTTTTAATGTCTAGGATCTATTTGTGTTCCATTGAGGCTGTACATTTGAGAAACACACACACACACACACAGAGAGAGAGAGCGAGAGAGAGAGAGCGAGAGAGAGAGAGAGCAATCATTAGCCTTATCCAGAATCTGATTACTTGTCAATTTTCTTTTTCAAATATGCCTCCTTGTGGTTACATTTGGTACTGACTAAATCCTGGAGATTTATAATGAAGAAGAAGAAGACTGTGCGTGACTGAGACTTGGATGTGAGACAGGGAGAAAGTAGCACCCTCCCAGTTAGCTCCGCCCAGATTCTCGGTCCTTCACCAATCACGGACTGTGTGGGGAGGAGTGGCACTATTTATCCGGGAGGCTTACTCCTTCAGGGCGCTCCCGCCGTTGAAGCTTGAGAGTACTGAGTGCTCAGGCCTTGTGCGGGAAGCCGGGGAGAGTTTGGCTATTTGGCTGGTGTACCGTCCGCCTAACGCACCAACCAATAGCCTGCCATCTCTGGTTGAGGCGGTGTCGGGCTGGGCATTGGAATACCCTAGGCTGATAGTCGTGGGCGACTTCAATGTCCATGCTGACGATGCTGCCTCTGTACCGGTGATGGACCTGGTGTTGTCCATGGTGGCGCTAGGACTCATCCAATTTGTAACAGCCCCCACTCACTGGGTTGGGCATACGCTCGACTTGATCTTCATGGTGGGGGTTACAGTGGACCGGATCACTGCTTTGGCAGTGCCGTGGTCGGACCACCTTGCCCTGAAGGCCCGGGTGAATGTGTCACCCCAACCCTGTTTGGGCGGCAAGCATATTTTGGCTTGTTCGCAGAGCAAATGTGCTGCCGGAATACATCTCAGCCCGCACTAAACATTGGCTGGTTATTGCTGCTGTTCGTATATTGCGCGCTGCCATCATCATTGTTATCATTAGTACTGTTTAGTTGCTTAGGCAGTTGTATTTATTCTCCATTGTATTTTAATGTATTTATTGTTTTAGTGTTTTTAATGTTGTTAGCTGCCTTGAGCCAGTTCTGTGGCAAGGTGGGATACAAATTGAAATAATAAATAAATTTAGAACTATTCGGTTCTTAACAGAGCTGCCACAGGGCAGACCAAATGCTAGGGAATTGGATATTGGCTGTGAGGCTTTTGTGAGCTATTTTGCAGATAAAGTCCTGCTGCTCTGCTGCCATCTCCCTGCCAGAGTTGAGACAGTGAGTGAACTCGAGGCTCCATGCACGTCTTCTGGTTCTATTCTGGATTATATCAGTCCACTCAGTCTTGAGGAAGTTGACAGATTGCTCTCAACGGTACGCCCAACCACGTGCAGCCTTGATCCGTGCCTTTCATGGCTTATAAAACCTGGCCGTGAGGGGTTATGAGGTGCCCTCAGGGACATTATCAACAAGTTCTTCGTTGAGGGACTGTTCCCGGGGGCAGTCAAGGAAGCGATGGTCTGCCCTCTCTTGAAAAAACCATCTCTGGACCCAGCTGAATTGGCC